TTTAGGTGAAATGCAGCTCATAGTGAGAAGGCAAGAGAACATGGTATTACTGAACAGGAAAAACTCCATCTTAGAAAACATCTAGTCAAGTACGGTATTAAAATGGCAATGATAAGATGCTGAAGTAACTCTAAAAAGACAAGGTGAGGTAGATTACCATTCAAGAAATTCAGCCAAGCTAAAAGAAACTAGAGTTGTTTGTTTTTATGAAGCTATCCAAAGAACCTTTCATTTCCCACAATAGTTCATCTGCCTTCCAACGCCAGTCAACATTCAATTATTCAGGCAGAGGTAAGTATCCTTTCTTGTGGTCACATGGGTCAGAAATGAGAACTTTAAGGTCAGACTGTTTCTTTTTAAGGGCTAGCCCCCACCCTAGACCTGCCTACTGAATCAGACACTTTAGGGTGTATGTCATTTCTGGTAAAGGTTCACTGATGGAAGTCCCTGCTTAGAATATACTGCCCAGAATACATGCTCAGGCCACAGCATTCATTTTAACAAATCTCCTGTCATTGGAAAATATGTCCCTTTTAGCAGTATAGCCAGCCTCATTTTAATTTCTCCAAGTGAGATGAGAAATTGGGGGGGGGGGGATGTCTGAACAACTCTGATAAAATGTCCATGAGGAACAAATGAGACAGAACCCACATAACTGGATCTGGAATAGTTAATACTTTCCACAAGCAAGGATTAAGCCTATATACCATTACCTACCTTTGGCAAAGAGCTTAAAATAGGGACAGAAATCAGAAGTTCTCAAGCCCCCCTAAACCTGTTGTTGCTCTCTCAGTAGTAACAGCTTTTCTAATCAGCCCTCAGCTATCTTTATTTTCTGGAATAAAATAAATTCTTGCTATGGTTTATGGCCAGTTAGCTCAGTTCGTCCAAGATGCCAAGTCTTTTCCACAGATGAAACCAATTAACATTACCCTTACTCTAGAGCCACAAACTATACTAACATCAACCAACTGTTTCTGCACCATATTTATAGCACACCTGTTTAATAGCACCTATTATACCCAACTATTACTGGGCAGTTCATCCCCACCCAGTATACAAGTTCTTTGTGGACTATGTACCCCCAGAGCCAAAATATGTTGAATGAAATGAATGCTGATCTAGGTTAGTGGTTTAGAATATGGACCACCCATCGTCACCAAGTTTATTCTGACTCATAGTGACCCTATAAGACAGAGTAGAACTGTCCCACAGGTTTTCCAAGGCTGTCAATCTTTACAGAAGGGACTGCCTCATCTTTCTTTTGTGGAGCAGCTGGAGGGTTTGAACCATCGACCTTTTGGTTAGCAGCCAAATGTTTTTTACCACTGCAGCACCAGAGTGCCTTAGAATATGAACAATTCAATGCAAATCCATCACTATTACTAGGGGGTACAGAACATGCCCAATTCAGAGCATATTTTCTTAGGCATAAGGCTGATAATCTACCTATTTTTGAAAACTCAATTTTTATGATTAGTGCATGAAACCAGCACGAAACTGGAATACACTGCATCTAGACTTTTCTCTCTTTGCCTTGCCACAGGTATGCCTGGTGGTCTGATTGTGAAGGCACAGACCATTATAGCGTTTTTACTTGGAAAAAAAAACTAAACCAACAGGATGAAGTCATGGATGTAAAATAAGCTTTTTCTTTGACCCGATTTGGGGGGAACAATTTTTACATTTCAATGACCTAATCTTTCCTAGGGTTCTCATGTCACTGCAATGTAGTATTTTAGGTACTCAACTTCTAACCCTAAAAGAGACAATCACTCACCAGCCCCAACACAAACCTCCCATGAACCTCCGATCCCTTACTGTACCTTAGGTGAACTGGGTCAAACCAACAAAATTACAAGTGAAGATCCCCAAAACCTTTCCCATGGTCCCATAATTGGGGCAGATTATGAGGAAAATGGATTGCAGGTTGGCTACCAAACAGGAATAAGGGTTAAGAATAATCTATCTGCCCAAGTTATGGGAACAGGACCAGCCTTTCATCAACAACAAAAATCAGAAAGCAGATATGGCTGGCAGCAGCCAAGGAGCATCTAGACTTCTGAGTTAAAGAGCACCGCAAAGCCAAATGTCCCCTGGAACACATAAAAGACCTGGATTGTTGTTGGAAAAAAAAAATGATAAGCCTCTCTACAAATTTAAAATGGGTGCTCCCACGCAGGGTGACTTTCCCAACAGCTACTTTTAAAGTCAGGGCTATTGCCTAGCCCAGGAATCAGAATAGCTGCTAAACTGACCTGAGTAGACCCTCCTTAGCAATGTTCTGCTACAATCTGTGGAAACGGAGATCATTTAATGCTGATTACTAATTCAGTATGAGAACGATGTTTTGAAAGAGAGCTAAATTCGGAAAAAAATACTTAAGCATCCGAGACCTAGACTTTTAAGGGTACTTAGCCCATAGCTACTAACTCTCACGTATGAAAACAAGTTTCTGTTTGAGGCTGCAATTCTCCAAGGGCCAGGGTGGCTCCTCAACACTAACATACGTCAGAGGCACAGGCAGGCATCCATCAGGTTTCCTTTGTGCTGAAGGCTGAAATCAGGATTGGCCTCCGGCTCCCTACATTCCTACAGAACCAGCTGGGAATAGACATGCAGAGAATAAAAGTGTTCTGGCAGCACTCAGTACAAGACCATGATTCCATAAACTGAGAATAGGAAAAAGATGAAGTAAGGAGTAAGGTATTAAAGGGGTGATGAGTAGACGGTGATACTGGATTATTTTGTTAAAAAGAAAATTAGGTTTTGATAAATGTCTTATGTATTACCTATAACCATGGCAACCATGTGTCCCAGATTTCTCAAGAACAATTGCAATACCAAATATTGTGTTTTATCGTTCTTCTAAATGCTAGATGTTTTGTTTTAAAAACATGGTCACTGCAGTTTATATGCCCACTGCTACTGGGAAGTACTCACTGACTACATGGATAGACTGCTATTTTCTCCAGCAGCAAACTGAGAGACCCACATCACCTCCTCAGGAGATCTGGCCTACTTCTGTCCTATTCTTGTCTATCCTAATTGACACCCTTGGTTATTTATATGATGAATTTGTTTCCCGACCATCTTTTCTTTAAGATGCCCATCAGATTAAGTACTAACAATTGTCAATTATCTAGCACTTGATTTAGGCCTTTAATTCCTTTGGAGAGAAAATAAAGGAAGATAGAGACAAAACTCCCACCCATTTAAGGTATGGGTTATGAGTTCTCATCCAATCAAATTACCATTCAGAAGGATTTTCCTAGATGACTTAAACCAAAAGCTTCATTGTTCCAGTCTGTCACGTCACTACAGCAACAGCTGTCTTCTCAACTGTGCAGTATAATTTTTGACATAATTTATACAAGCATACAGAATTCAATCAGCAGCTGAGCAGAGAAGCAATGTTAACAAATGCTATGAATGGGTATATGATTTGCATATTATTTGGCTCATCTGTGGACTGGAGCAATCCATCCATTCCCTTCATTACTCTGAATACAGAAATGGTTGAATGATCCTGGCCAGACAGCTATTATGTTTTAAAAATCAAAAGCGACAACAAAAACAGCCGTAGTGGCTGGTGAACTCTAGAGTTAAGGCTATTTCAAGCATTTATTTATTTCCTCAGCTTTGGGGCTGGGACAAAGATGCTCAAAACCCTGCTATTTCCTTACTTTTCATTCTGATTCTCTAGCCCTCCTCAACTACAAGAAAAGGGTAGAGAGAAGTAGGGCATTTGCTGGGGGACAAAAGTAGGATACGTTCAGAAAAATAACCTCAATGTAATGGCAAAGCAGTAGGAAAACAAAAAGGAAGTATTTTACTCAGAAGGGAGACGTTGTGCCAACATGCCAGAACCGGTCACTCTCTGAGGTGATAGTCTTCCATGGAAATGCATTTTTAAAAAATAAGATACAACTAAGAGCTTGAAGGCAGAAAAAGGGAAGAGCATTAATACTCTGGGGATTCTTGGTGGCAAATACAGGAGTCAACAAAGCAGGAAATGTAATGATTACAAACAGTATATTAAAAATTGAAATTGTGGCCAATGGCTCCCCACCAAGAAATCCCCACTGAAAATAACTGCATGATGGGGCAACTCAGGTCCACTGAGGAGTTAAAGAGTCAGGTTCAAAGCCTCTTTGGTAACACGAATGCTGTGGGAGGCCACAAAAGTTGGCAGAATTAGAGGCTGCCTAGCTCCTTGGCACAAGTAAGCACCAGGCAGTCACTCCAACCTACATAAATGATATTACAAGTATGAGAGATGGAAATAATACATATATGCCAATGTGATAATAACAAAGAAATTGTATCCTATCCCTACCCCATCACCCTCATGTATGATAGCTAAAAATCTCCACAGTTAATAACCTTGCCATCTTATGGCAGACAGACACCACCTTGCAGAAGCAGAAACAGAGATTGCTAAGAAATAAGGCCAAAAATCCTAGGGGCTAAAGAAGTGCCTCAACAAACTTCACTGTAAAATTTCTAGTCCTCCAAAGGGTGGAGTTATTCTGGGAGGATGGGTGAGGATGAACAACAGAGGGTGGCCCAGAAGAGCACACCAGGAACCCTGTATTCTCCTGGGTAGGGCTGCATGAAATTGGGATAGTCCCAAAAGGTAGGCAGTTGCTATTGGCTTTTAAAAAAAGATGGGCAGCATCCTTTCTATCCAACATCTCAAAACAAAGGCCAGTTGGTTAACAACATGTTCTAAGAACCAAAGCAAGAAACCAAACTCATCACCATAACAAAATCCCCCTATCTAAAAAGTGGCCAACTCTGAAAAGATCAATACTCTAAGGTGATTAAAAAGTTAAAACTTATCTTGAGGTCACAGGAGAGCAGAAGGAAGAGATCAGGGCAAAGGAAAAGATTGTGGGAATTACACACAGTATGTAAATGCCTGGTCTTCACAGAGACACTTATCATGAATCAGACCATCAGTTATGTTACAAGAGAACCAATACCAACATTTCTCCTGTGGAGCACAGTGATAAGCACATTTTTTATGGATGTGTTTAGGATAGAAGGGGTGGGTAGAAGGGACAGGAGGCAGGGAGGTAATGTATTATGTACAAAGAGAAATGACAGAGACCACCCCCTCCTTTAGCTCTTTGCGGTTTCTTTCTCTTTGTTTTCCGCATCCTCAGGATATGCATGCCACGTCAGTCTCTCTTCATAAAATGCTATCACAATCTGTGGACATTTCACATTAGCTTCTTTTGCGAGAACCAGGTCAGCTTCATCTGTGTCTTTCCTGGGAAGAAGGAATACAAAAGCTTATGTTAGTGCGTGGATTTCACTTACTTAATTTCTTCTCACTTTGATTTCAAGGCGAAAAAGACACCAACAGTTCAATATTTTCAAGTAGAATTTAAGTAAAAGAACTAAATTATTCATCTATACCATTTAACTACTACATCAGACAGAAACAAGAGTCTTCAGCTAGAATTCAGAAGCAGAACAGGGTAGACTCAGTCAAAAAGACTGAGTAAGTTGTATTCATTCTGCTTCCCTAATACTTATTTGTGAGCATGTGAGTGAACACACAATCAAACCTACATTCAGACCTACTGATTATGATAAGTTGATTCATCTAGTTTTTGGATCATCTAAGTGAAGAGGTCCTAATCCTCCTCACCTTGTAGACTTTTAAACACTCATTATCTCCTTGGTCAGAACTGTGGATTGGAACAGTAAGAAAACAGAAATTTACATCAATAACAGTACTTCTAAAAGGAGGCGTAAAGAAAAATGTAAAATCTAGTCACTAAAGTGCATGTAGGAATTAGTTGACAAATCTCAATTATCCAAGCTACCCACAGGCTCCACTATCACATAAAACAAAAACCTATCAACACTTCCTTAATCTTAATTCCAAGTCAAGAAAAAATATTTTAAATTAAAACTCTGAGATTCAGGCAAAGATAACGATCTCCTTTTTCTAGAAAATTGAGATGTTTAATTCATCCAAGCATTATGGGTGAGAAGAGAGGGATATACATACAGCTTAGAGCAGATACTCAAATTCAGACTGTGATGGAAAAAACTAGTTATACGTGAATATAAACCAGAAGTACCACATATGGCTGAGTAGGAAAAAGCAGACTCTAAAAAGCTCCTTACTTCTGACAGAGTACAGTGATTCTTTAAATATACGCTTCAGGATAATTTACCAGCAGCATTTCGATCAGATAAAATATAATCTTTTGATTATACAATGTTTAAGGTAATTAGCTTCCTTAGTGGCACTGCAGACCAACCCTCTATTTAGAGACCAAACTTAAATCAAAAACCCAGAATACTTGGAAATAATGAGGTAGCGAGGGCCACACCATAAATCATCCTGTCTTTAAAAACCAAACTGAGGGGAAGGACTACACTTTCCTCTAAGAGCCATTCTTTCTTCCGGATGAAATAACTTGTGCTTTGGCCAGTATTAGCCTTAATGGTTTTTGTTGAGATTATTTTTTTCTTTAAACATTATTCAGTGGTCTTGGCCTTCAGTGATGGCAGAAAGCCTCACCCAACTCCTGTCCCATGGCCACAAGCTCATGGTCTGACGGTAAATGATTCTGAATTGTGTAAATAATGGTTAGGTCATGTTTGTATTTTTCCTACCTCAATTCTACCTTTTCCTGTTAAGCAGGCTACTATAAGATAATCTGGCTTAATACTAAAGCTTGAGAATGTTTAAAATCCATCCTGAAGCATAATTTCCATTTAACACTGACAGCCAGTAGTATTAGTTAAAGATCTTGACAATCAAAATTCTAAGTTAGGGATACTCAGTCTCACCACCTACTCTTTCATACAAATTCAAGTCCCTGGCAAAGAAACACCACTGTGAAGTAAGGCCCCAATATCTCTCACCATTTCATTAGGAACATTAAATCGCCACAGGAATCTGTCGCCCCAATGATCTTTTCTGGTTCCAGGCCTCTCTCAAAGCCCCGAGCGATATCATTGCTCTGCTATAAATAGAAGACAAAGAAAGGTTACAGCTTGGGCAGAAGAACAAAAACCTTTCCTATTTTTCAGTTCAACAAAGCATAATCTTAAGTCATTACCATCTAATACCATTTTTGTCATTAATTCAGAAAAATTCTTAGAACTTAAAAAGTACAACACAGGGTCAGCCAGTAACAGTGATGCTAAGAGAGATTTCTGCAAGAAGATATGGTTGCTCTTCTATCAAAAGATTGGATGACATCCCTAGAATTTGTTAGTATCACTTAAAATAGTCTTAAGTCACCATCCAGGTATTTCTCTAATATCACCCTGAATCACCTTAAAATTCTAGGTTCAGTACCTCTAAGTTTTAGCTTACAAGATGATAAACAAGGTCATGTTCATTCTAACTAAACCATTTTTCGTTTTATAAACCTTAAATGGGAGCTCTGGTAGCATAGTGCCTAAGGCACCTGACTGCTAACCAGAAGACTGGCGGTTCAAATCCACCAGCCACTCCTCAGAAGGAAGGCTGGGCAATCTACTTCCGTAGTGATACTGCCTTGGCAACCCAAGGAGGGGTCGCTATGAGTTGGGTCCCACTCGATGGCACACAACAACAACAAACTTTAAATATATCACTATGTTTTTAGAGTTTTGGTTTACCTTAACACTGACTGTTATTTTTAATACTTCTTTTCACATAGTCATCTATGTTCATAAAAAGAGGTAAGAACGATTCAAAGTAACAGTACAAAATAGCAAATCACAGAGATCAGATACACCAAGTTCCCATGCACTTGGGGAAAAAGTCCCAATCTTTGTGGATGAACTGTTAGCATTAGAAGGCAAACTGGCCAGTGATTTAGGAAAAAAAAGCTGGTAATTCACTGGATGATTATTGAAACTTGGCTGAAATGCAATCTAGACAAGCAGTTGAGGGTCGATCCAGGTATAATGGCATTGGTGAGAGGAAACTGCTAAGATTTTATACAAACCAGGTAGTTTTTAAAATGTTACTATGGAAGATAACATAAGCTTCTCTACTAGGGAACAAAGAGAGAGATTTAGAAAGACTGCCCAAATGAACTAAGTTTCTGGTATCTTAACTTCATAATAAAGTCTCTTTGATCTGATATTCACCTTGCTTTGCTCTGAGAAGACACAAAGCATTCAGGGTCCAGATGGTCCCCAAAGATACCAAAACACACAATGAGAAGGAAATTCCATGTATGGATCAAGGAGAGATACTGACTCTTAAAAACACAGCCTCTTTTGGGGGTGCTTAAAGGGAAGAGGTTCCCAGATGTGCACACAGCTGCTCACAGCTGGAATGCTGGCACATGAACTGAGTCGTAAATCATAGCTGGCGGCTGAAAACTGTTTGCCACATAGGGAGGGAAAGAAGGGGGAATGAAAGAAAAATGTTCAAGCTGCTGAAAAAGGAGCCGAGGCGAGGAAAATGCTAAAATCATCACAGGCAGTAATCTTAAATCAGGCATAATGCCGACTAACAAATTTCTTCTGCAGTGGTCTAAAGAAAGAAACGTAATCCCCTTCTGTACCTTTAAAACATATAATCACCTATCTTTCCAGCTGCCTACCTGACTGCCACCAGCACTGCTGAGAATGCTGCCAGGGGCCCTAGATGAACCTTACAACGTAAGGGATGTGTGTGGGGGGTTGTTTCAAGGTTGCCAGTGTTGGAACCTGGTCTAGAACAAAACTTTTGGCTCTGGCCAATGACTCTAACTAGGTGTTCAGATTGCCCTTCTTAAAAAAACACACTCCAGGTTGAGAAAATCCACATTATATGCCACAAATGGCTAGTCAGAAGTCTTATGCTGTATTATTCTGCTTTCTTTATTGAGCTAGAGAATCAATCAAAGGACTAATAAAAAATTTCTTAAATAGAGAAAAGATCCAAGTCCTCACTCCTTAGGGAAGAAAAGGCATTCTAAAGTACTTCATCAGTACAGCATATTATCATATACAGACCTCATCAAAACAGGGCAGTTTTAGGTAGAAGGCTGAAAATTTAAAATCAATCAGGGAAACAAATAAGGGGACAGATTCAAAGTACACTTTCATTAGCAGCCTCCAATCTCACACTCTCATCTCAATTCTTTTTAAAAAGCTGGTCTTCCATTTTTTCTCCAAAGGAGACCAGGGATCACTAATTTAAACCTGTATAAAGGGAATTTCTGTAGATCAACAGGAAAGTATGTGCTAGACCAATTAGAAATATAAAACACAAAGTAGGTCTAACTTGTCATTTACAACAATGAAAGTTGATGTGTGAGTGATATTAAAAGGTATCTAAGCTACTCCTCTCCATGTACTGTGGTGAAATTAGAATCATACAAAATATACAGATATTTCATTTAGGAAGAAAATAATCAAACATACTGTACTTGCCCCCTCCTCAAGATGAATTCCCAAAACTAAAAGCTGTCTCCTGTCAAAATTTCTCTCTCAAACTGTGGTTGTCTACCTTGGCTGTATCACAAGAGCTTTAAAAAATACTGATGCCTAGGTCCAACTCACAAAAACTGGAATTTAACTACTCTGGGGTGCATCTTGGGCACTGGAGAATTTTTCAAAGCCCCCAGATGACTCTAACGTGCAGCCAGGGTTGAGATCTAATACTCTAGAATGATGGTGTCTGAGTAGAATGAAGACAAACAGGGGTGCTTTGTGGCAGTGATGCTACAAGATTCAGAAGTAGATTTATGCTTTTTTTTTTTTTTTTAAACTAAACTTTATGGGTAGGATATGTTCTTCACCACCAAAAGCCTTCACAATCTTGAAATAAATAAAAGGACTAGAAGCTAGGTCATGTGTGCACACATGCATGTGTGTGTGCTTGCATGCTCATGTGAGCACATGCAAATAAGAGAGAAAAGACAAACAAAAAAAGAGAAGCAATAACAATGCTTGTACTGGTTATATGACAGCTAAAGATCAGAAGGAGTAAAGCGATAGAATTAAACCAAAATTTCAAACACACTTAACAAACTGAATTAAAAAACTGAAAATGAAGATAAAAATTAATTTTTAGTCAAAGTATACAGAAATAGGATCAAGAGACTATAAATGCCACTGAACTGTACACTTTAAAAGAGAGGGAATACAGAGGGTTGAAAATTGCCATCCTTGGAACAAAAGAAAAAAAGAAGGGAAGTGGTCAATATTTCAAAGCCCTTTTCCATCCTTAAAAAAATTCACCAAGACCTTCCCTGTCTAAGATAACTAAGTCTTCCATTTATGGTAAAGGCAGAAAATAGTTCAATGCTTTACAGAAATTAATTTTGTCACTTGAATACGTTCATGAGACATAAATTACATTTCTCACATAGCCAGGAGGGGGCGCTGCAGTTAATAAACATACCTCCCAGGAAGCTCTTTGTTTAACAATTTACCTCCTAGAACAGAAATAACCAAAGGCTTTTTTGGGGGTAAGGGTAGGGGAAGGGGTAGGTGAGGAGCAGAATAGTTTATGGGGGGAAAAATATAGGGAAAGGAAGCTTACCTCTCTCTTTTTTTTGGATTTGATATCATCAGTACTGTTTGAGAAATTGGATTTCCTCTTGTTGCTTTCTGACTTCTCCCTGGGTTTGTTATTTTCACCCTCCTTCATCTTCTTATACTTTTTCATAAACTCAGAAATTAGCTCAGGGCAATCAAGGTTTTTCTCAGGTTCCCAAGTATTGTGCTCCCTGGGCAAGAAGAATGGAGAAAAAAGCTGAAGAATGGAGGGCAAAAAAAAAATCCGATGCCTTATTTAAAGACAAAATGACATGTGGGCAAAAAGGAAACGTAATGCTTAGAGGTGGTAACAAATTTTATCCTAAGAATCTACCCAAGAGAAACGAAAACATCAAGAGAAATGAAAACGTATCTCCACACAAAGACCTGTACACAACTGTTTATAGCTGTGTCTGTAACCGGCCCAAACAGAAAACAATACAAATATTTATCAACTGATGAATGGAGAAACAAAATGTGGTATATTCTTATAATGGAATACTATTCAGCAATAAAAAGGAACAAACTACAAATATATGCAACATTAAAAAAATCTCAAAAATACTATGCTAAGTGAAAAAAAAAAGATGCAAAACACTATATATTATCTGAGTTATATGAAACATAAAAAAATTTTTTTTTAGAGAAAACAGCAGGTCAGTGGTTAACTGGGGCTGAGGATAGAAATTGGGATTCACTGCAATTGGGCTCAAGGGAATCTGGAAGGGTTATGGAAATGGCCAAAGAACTAATGCATTTAAATTACAGTGTTGGCAAAGAATATGGAATATAGTACGGACTGCCAGAAGTACAAACAAATCTGTCTTGGAAGAAGTACAGCCAGAATGCTCCTTAGACATGAGGATGGTAACTTCGTCTCACATACTTTGGACAAGTTTTAGGAAGGACCACTCCCTGAAGAAGGACATCATGCTTGATAAAGCAGCGGATCAGTGAGGGAGAAAAAGAAAAAAAAAAAAAAGATGCTCAGAGAGATGGAATGACACAATTACTGCAACAATGGCCTCAAACGTAGCCAACAATTGTTGAGGATGGCATAGGACTAGGCAATGTTTCTTTCCATTGGGCATGTAGATACTATGAGTAGGAACAGACTGGACAGCTTCTAACAATGGCAATTGGTCCCAAAACTGGGTTGTGGTGATGGTTGCACAACTCTATAAAAATTTACTACATTTTATACATTTAGATTTTGTTTAAGGCAATAAAGTTTTAAATTATTAAGAATGTGATCAAACAAAAAAAAGGAGGAGATGCAGAAGTGGAATTTGAGCTGCATTAATTCCAGTACTCTGGACTCAAGCCTACTCTCTAGGTAGTCAAAATATATTTTCCAATAAGCAAAAAAGCAACTAAATAATGTGGTCTAATTAAACTTAGATCAAGGGAGTCCAACTTTGATGAATATAAATAGCTGGTATTCTCAAAAGTTGTTCTCTGTATTCTTGGCATAGGTTTTAGAAAGTCAAACTCCTAACTGCATCATTAACTTATAAAATCCAAAGCAAGAACAACTCAGGAGGAAAAACTACACTGGGTATCCATCCTCTTTACCGCTAGCCAATGGCACATGTTCTCCTGGTTATACAGTTAAGAACTAATTTATATTAATGTGCATCCATAAATGCATCACAGAAGCAGCTTATACAATCCCTCAACTGACTTGTAAAAAACTTTTAAAGTATGCACTACCATTTTCGATATCTTTTTTTGTTTTATAAATAAGGTATCTTTAAATGGGAATGGTTTGAACTACTCATGCTGTAACTTGACTAAGATAGGAAGCATAATGATTCTACCTAGGGAAACATCTGAGCTGTTTACTCTAGACCTAAACAACCTTCTACAAAAGGAGCTTAAAAATTAGACAAAAGGTGTTTCTAAATCATTTGGGCTAACAATGGAAGGGTCTCCCCTCTATAACCCTTTGCTCTGCAGAAAAAAAATTACTTACATGGCAATTTTCCCTAAAATTCAAACTGAGCTTCTGTTAAGGGCAGTATGAAAACTTAGAAATGGATCACAGTGATGGGTGAGTAATATGATAAATATTATCAACATCACTGCATGGTATTATGTGAAAAGGGCTGAAATAATAAATATTTTGTTCATCGCATATATATACCACAATTAAAAAAAAAAACAAACAACCCAAAAACCATATAGTTTATTATCCCAGAGGATTAAGGCACTCAAGACGATTTGGGGATGAGGAGTCTCTGCTGACAACAGTCTACAACTGGACTATCCTTTTTTCTATCACATTAGTACTGTTGTTTCTACTTCTAGCAATTTTCACCACAAAAGACAGCATGGTATAACGTGAACAGAGCGCGGGCTTTAGAGCCAAAGAAATCCGACACTGGATCCTCGTTGCAACCTTTAGTAGTTATGTGAATTTCTCTACCTTAATGGTTTAGTTCTCATCTCTAGAAAAAGCTGTGATACCACTCCCCTTTAGAAATATGGACGGTACATTCTGATTGCAGGAATGATTGGGGGAAGCCCTACCCACATTTAATGCTCTGGACCTAGAGATGTTAAGCACTGCAATGCACGAACTGTCCCACCTAAAATGCCAAGAAGTGTCCCAGATGAGAAATCCTGATTCATATAGTAATTTTCAGTATGATCCAAAGGCCACTGACTCACATTTTTATCCAAAGGTATTATCAAAATATTAAGTCTTTTAGTATATTTGGGTCCTATACTTTAATGGTATTATGGTTCAGTATGGTAGCCACTTGTGGCTACTAAATACTTGAAATATAGCTAGTCTTAACAGAGATGTACTATAAAATATAAAATACACACCAGATTTTAAAGACTTAACATGAAAAAAATAACGTAAAATATCTCAATAATTTTTATATTGATTATACAGGAATATTTTTTATACTGGGCTGAACAAAACATTAACATTAATTTCACCTTTCTTTAACGGGACCACTAGAAAATTGAAATTAAGTATGTAATTATATTTCTATGGAACAGTACTACTCTAGGGAGCTTAAATTAGCTTCTATCAGTTCACAGTGTTCTGAGAAACTCATTCTTTGTTATCAGGCACCCCGAGAAGAGAATTTATCAGAAATTGAGTCAATTACCTATTGATGATATAGCCTTAGGTATTTCACCTGCAATCTAGTTCTCCATGCTTCAACATGTACCTACTCTTACTTATTCCAAAGGAGAAAACGATCCACTTTAGCATTTCAGCATAAAGGTGGTTGCTGCCTAACATTCTACTCAACAATTCACTATCACTCTTAAGGCTTACAGATTTTAAAAAAAGGTCAAGGCCTTTAAAAAAAAAAAAAAAAAGCAAAGCAAAGCATTATATAAATAGATCTATCTATTTCAATGGATAAAGGAATAGAGAAAATATATTAAAATGTATACTGTATGATTTCATGTATTAAGAAATTTAGACTAGGCAACTGTGTACAGACCTGAAGTTATCAGCGGTTACCACGGGTGAGAGAGATGGAAAGGGGACTCACTGTTTAGGAGACACTGACCTTCTGTTAACAGGTGATGGAAAAATTTGAAACAGATAATGGTGATGGTTGCACAGCATGATGAACACAATGTCACTGAATTGAACATATGAAAAATGTTAAAATGGGAATTTTTAAAATATGTCTATCCTCTAATTAGTGGTGTGTCCTTCCTTCCCTGAAATGACATATGTTTTATTTACATTTACCACACATACATACATAAATAAGCATGTTACGAAGAAATTAAAATTTAGGAAGACCATAAAAAAAAAAAAAAAAAGGCAGAAACTAGCTGGAGTATCTGAGTATTCACTGTAAATATTCTGCTTTAGCTGTACGTTTGAAATTTCTAAAAATAAAATGTTAAGGGAAAAAAATATGGCCTCAGATTTAAGTGTCTCTTTAAAATGGGTACGTCTTTCTGTCATACTTCAAAGATCTAAGGATAAATTTGGAGAGCTAGAGGCTATGGGATTAGCTTATTTTTTGCTCAATTTATATATTTTACCTTAGCTGTATGTAAAAGAATAGTAACAGTAACAGTTTTTACTGCCCTTATCATTGTTAAGTTCTGTATATATCTACCCAACAACCCTATGGAACTAGTACTGTTTCTTATCCCTATTTTGTAGAGGAGGAAAAAAGATTAAGTAACTTTCCCAAAGTCACTCAGCTTGTATCATTAAGTGTGGAGCAAAAATGTGGACCCAGGCAACCTGTGTGCCTGATCAATTCATTATACTGCCTCTCAAAAGCATTATCAGTAAGGTCAGTTGCACAAGAGTGGAGATTTTGCTTAATTTGGTGTTGTGTCTTTTGAATCTTAACAAAGGAATGCAGATAGGAAAAGGAGAAAGACAAAGATGGCAGTGGTTCATCAGGAAGCAAACCAAACATGTCTACCCTGGCAGAGTTCTAAAGCCTCAGAGAGGGCACTTACTCAGAAAAGCCTTTCCACTTGAGTAGATATTCCACTTGCCCCTTGACCACACGCCTGTCTAGCACCTTCTCCACGACGTATTCCTCCTCATCTTCTGAAGAAGAACTGTCAGCTGTCCGCTTGGTTTTCTTTCCCATGTCTCACACTGTTCCACCTGAAGATCTAAGGCCACCAGGTTCCTGCAAATGGGAAGGGCAGTATGATTAGAACTCATGTGAGGAATTCAAACTTTGTCTCTTCTGAATGGGATGTTAGGAAATAATAAAGTTGCCATGTTAGCCTTCTCTTGGGTCCTAGAGCATTCTATAAATGAGTCCTAAGAATTAAAAAAAAAAAAAGGGGGGTCAAGACCCATTTTCTCACCTACAACTTTCCCTTCAGTTAGAGAGACCAAATTTATTAGATGCCACAATTGTCTAACTCCTCTAGCTTGAGATTCTAAAAGACAAGTAGTATGGTATGTCACTCCTGGGTACTTTTATAATTATTTACAAGCCAAGAACTCAAAGAGAAATGTGGGAAAATCTTCAGTTAAAAGAAATGTAACACAAATTAAAATCTTTCCTCCAAGTTAAATAATGTTCTTTATAAAAATGAAAAAGGCCACCAAAATGTAACTTTTCTCTGCTCAAAGCATCTTGACAGTATCTTAGTAGAATTAAAGAAGGATTGCTCAGGTTCTTTCATCACATTTTCAGTGACTTGGTACATTTCCCTTATACAAATTGAGCTTGTCCCTTTAGAGCATCCATCAGCTCACAAAAGCAAGGCTGACGTCTTACACACAGTAAACCTCCTTTAGTGTGTGTGTGTGGGAGGAATAAAAAATGTTAGTCCTAAAACTCAAAATTAGTCACTTGATTGTTCAGTAATTCCCAAGGCTCAACTAACCTAAATAGTTAAGGAGGTACCTCTCCTCTTCTCAACTGAAGTTGACTTTGGGCCAAATGAAGAAGAGGAAGAAAAAGAAGTCTGGCCTCAGACTCAGCATTAACATGAAGCCTCAACACACAGAGGAATCATTCATAGGCCCAAGGAAAGCTGAAGCAAAGCAACACAAATGGAAATTGAGTTAAACTCTGAAATATGCACACCAGGGGGTATTCAACCAAGAATCTAGTTCTTTAAATTACCATGTTGTAGTTACCATAATCATTTTTAAGAATTCTTCCTTAACCATGTTAAATGGTGCCTACAGTCTGGATTATATAGTAGCAAGAATTGTTTTCTCAGCTGAACTCCATTTTTATTTTGCTGTCATCTTTAAAGATGTTTTTCAGCACTCCCTAAAATATTTACACCCTGATCAGAAGACACTCCCAGGAATAAAGAGAGCAACTACCAACCTCAGAATTATGTTCAAATACATGATATAAAAAGTTGCATTTATCAATTTAACTCAAATTTACAAAATTATTCCAAAAAAATATAATTGGAAACCTTATCTCCAGAACTTATTAGCAATAGGTTTACCCACCCAAAAAACCACCAGTACCCGTATGACTGCCCTGTAATTAAACTATTATCATGAAAGTACTTATTTGGAAGAGGGAGTGGGGAAAAATGTAGCTAGGGGGTTTAAAAATAATTCCCCATGAATTTTGATGAGAGCCCTAAGCTTCAAAAAAAATATATCTGACTTGGTTTATTTGAAATATAAACAGCTTCCAACCTCACCAGAGACAGGAAATGGCATATTCCAGGGAGAATACCCCACCCCCCACCCCCACTCACCTTGGAATTTCCGGGAGCTGAGCAGTTTAGGTCAGAGCGCTAGGGTTAAAACCAGCCCCATGTTAGATGCATGCAGTTAAGCATTGTGGCTATGGCCTCTCCTGCCTCACCAGGAAAAACAAGAATTTACATATGTTTTCTTCAGTTTGAGGGAGGGAAGAGGAAAATCTCCCTTTATACCTTCATGCAGAAGAAGATCCCCAAAAGTAGAAGATGAATGGGGGTTCCCTCCTTTACCTACCGGATCGCCCCAGTTCTTTCTTTCCCTCTGGGCTAACAGGAGGGGCCTCCCCTCCCAGGTCTGGGGCTTGGCGGGCTGGCAGCTCCCCCGCCCCCACCCAGCTGCCTGGGCGCCACTGCGCAGCTGTCCCAGTCCGTTGCCATGGCAACTGGCAGCAGTACTAGTCTAAGGGGGGAGAGGCAAACGGAAAAGTTAAAAGGCTTAACTTTCCTTTTCAGTAAAGACTGGGTGGAGAAATTGGAAGGTACCTTCCCTTGGCCTCAAAGCTAAGGCATTCAAGGCTCAAGGGAATTGCTTCTTGGGTTTTAAATAAGAAACTTGGGTTTATTTCTCTAAACGCACTGGGAATTAATCAATAGCATTTTAAGATCATCTAACAGGATTTCTAGCTCAACTGGAAGGGGGAGGGGAACGGCTAGGTCCTTATGCAGAGGGATCAGTACAAACCACTACCCCCTAAGGCAGCCCACCAGAAGCATTTTGGACAAGGCCTTTTGTACCATCTGTCACTGAACAGTTAACTAAAATTGCTTGAGAGGAAAAACAACAGGAAAAAAAAGGGGGGGGAGGAGGATAACTAAAAGATACAACTTTCATTCTTTGGAGTATTACTAGATACAGAAATGTTCAATTTAAGACTCCTTCTTCTCATTAGTTGTCTTTAGAATGTTACCAAACAGATTACCTAATATATACTACAGTAATAACTCTCTATAACAATGATTGATCTCTAATACATGATACTTATTTACCTGAAGTTACATACATTTTCCTTTCTCCTGGCTCTAAAGTACATTTTATAGAGAGCTCCCAAACCTGCTCTGCTAAACTGATATGGGTCTTCAGAGTCAGAGGGTGCTGTCATAGAAGAGTAAGGGAAAGGAGCTAGCAAAAGCAAAGAACCCAAACGAGGAAAAGCAGAGAATGGTGACTATTTTGGCTGTCAAAAAAGAACAAACCATATGGCAAGAGAACAAAGCAAAAACAAAAACAAAAAAAATTCAATTACAGGGGATTTTCTCAAATTTGAATGCAGCTGTCAAGAAATTTGAGTGAAAACTGCCTGTGGGTCTCTTCTTTCTCTCAACTTTTCTTAAAGGAGAAGAAAACAATACCAAAGGAATTAGATCAGGGTCCTGATTCTGTGATTAACTTGCCATGTGTGATCTTGTGTAAATAAATTTCAGATCTAATCCTGCATCACTAAAACATGCCAAATAAATCCCCACTGCCTACCTCCTAGGGAATGAGTGAGTTTATGTTGAAACCAAAGAACTGTTATGTCCTCCAAAGAGAAGCTTTTGTAAAAATATGCTCAGGCTGAATGTAACAGCAGCAGGAAACATGTGACCTTCCAAATTCCTTAGCTGTTAAACCATATCACATGCTGCTATAGGGTAAAGTAACTCCTGCAGCTCAATGTATTAGTAGATAGCAAGGAAGAAGGAACAGTTTTTGTTAATAAGGCACTAGAAACTAATAAACCTTCCAAAAACAAAGCAGCAGGTATGTTCTTTCTCATGGGTAAAATACTTATTCCTATGCTTTAAAACTCAGAAAAGCACTGCCAATTGCAGAATTAAGACTGTTGTTGTTATGTGCCGTCGAGTCGGACCCAACTCATAGCGACCCCTCCTTGGGTTTCCGAGGCAGTATCACTACAGAAGTAGATTGACCAACCTTCTTTCCGAGGAGTGGCTGGTGGGTTTGAACTACCAGCCTTCTGGTCAGCAGTCAAGTGTTTTAAACACTACGCTACCAGAACTCCCAGAATTAAGACTAGCTATTAGCAATTCTACGAAGAGATAAAGGACTGAAAAAAATGACAGCAACACTAACATTTTGGTGAAAACTTTCAAAACCAAAAAATGAATTTAGCAAGGAAATGAACAAAACTACTCTGGTATCCCCTCCTCCCTCTAAAATTATACCAGGAAATGAAAAGTCCAATCAATTCTCTCCCTTATACCCTTAAGAACTGCCTAAAGGGCACATGGGTCCCTTTCTCTTTTGGAAATGGGTTTTGTAACAGCTGACAAATCAAATTGGGCCTGATGCCAGGAGTCAGAGTCCAACCATAATATTCTGTAAAGAATGGCATGCAATTGTCTTGTAAATCTCCTCGACAGTTACAGATCAGAAGCTGGCAAGGATGACGACATAGTTCTGATGGAATGTGTCTTATCTTAACCTTGAAGTTACAGATCTGCTCAGGAACAGCAGTAAGAAATGAGAAATGCACCCAGACATCGGAGGGGACATAATTCTCTTTTAGACAGTGCGACCCAGAGTATTAGGGTCAAATGAAACACAAAGCCAGACGGACAATTTAAGGGTTAGAGCCTAGACCAGATAAAGCATCAAGACTGGTGGTGGTTCACACTGAGCTTGAGAGGAGGGAGCATTTCTGTATGAGAAATGAGACATGGCTGGCAGGATGATGGAGTGATTAAGGTACGATCCTGATACCATGACGGAAGGAAGAGGGCATGAGCCTCCGAGAGCAACCTTATCCTTATGGAAATCTCCATGGGAAAGGGTGAGCAGCTTCTCAAGTTTCTAGAGCATCTTTTAGGCATGGCAGCTCTCAGCCCTCTCTTGAACATAGACGGGAACTTTCTGGTAAAGGCATCAACAACTATAGGTAGATTCCATCAACTAAAATCCAGAAGGAAAGGAGAAAACAGCATGTTCCACTAACTCTTCGTATCAACAATGCAAGGCAAATTCACCTTACAGGCCTCTGAATGCTGGAAAGTCACCCTAAAGTAAG